AGAGGAAAGGCAGCTCCGTCAGAACCTTATAGTTCAAAATGTCCGGTCTAATTCAAATAGTGGTTTTCTCTAGACAGCCCCCTCCTCGCTGACAGCACGGTCCTCGGTGCTACTCCAGTGCCACTCTTCGCTGGTACCTCGAGTTCTAATCCCATATCAGGTGTCGGGTCGTTACTGTCTTTCTGCTGGGTATATGGTTTTAGCCGATTGAAACGCACTACCATGGATTGAATGTTAGTTTGATTAACAGCCCTGATTACGCAGGTTACCTCAGGCAGCACTTTGATCACCTCATACGGGCCGCGCCATTCCTTGTGTAAGTTTGACGGCACTCCAGAATTTGGCGTACTGACATGTAGCCACATCATCTGTCCAACTCGGCAGGGCGTCCCAAAAGACTTTTTGTTATAGTATTCCTTTTGATGTCGCTGAGCAGTTTGCAATTGTGTTCGCGCTGCCTGTTGCGCTCCGCGAAGCGTATCAAGAAGATAGCACACGTAATCTGTCACCAAGGGATGTGGCTTCGTTACTGCTGGTAATCTGGTGTCTGATGGAAGTCGGAATTCTCTGCCCGTCCGTAGGAAATGTGGGGTGTGTCCCGTGGAAGCGCGAACCGAACTACGATAAGCTCGCAGACTCTTGCTGAGTGTGAGGTCCCAATCCAAAACATTCTTGTCGTTAAACGCCTTCAGCAGTGCCTTCAACGACCTGTTGGTTCTTTCCACTAGCCCATTTCCTTCCGGGTGATACACCGTAGTTCGCGTTTTATCGACTCCCAATGCCCTGCACAATTCATGCATTAGGGCGCTTTCGAAATTGGCTCCTCTATTAGAGTGTAACTGGTTTGGCGCACCCCATTTACAAATCCACTGTTCCACTATCGCGTTGGCCGTTTTAGCAGCATCGGCTTGTTCTAAGGGAACCGCTTTGCACCACTTTGTGAAATAATCTACTATCACAAGGATGTATTTATTGCCTCTTCTTGTAACTGGAAGTGGCCCCATAATATCCACACCGATCATTTCGTTTGGGTAGCCCGCTGAGATTGTCTGTAATGGGGCTCGGAAGGCCACTCGTCGGTTCTTGAAACTGTCACAGCATTCACATGCGGCACACAAATTTCTTACGTCCTTTCGCATGTGGGGCCACCAAAACCTCTGCTGGGCTGCAAACTTAAGTTTGTTCGTCCTTGCGTGACCTAACTGTTGGTGAAGGTTCGTTAATACTTTTTTCGTTTTGGACTGGGGGACAGTGATGCGACTCGTGTAATTCTCCCCATAATGGAAGAAGAGCACATTCTCTCTCATGATTAAGTTGTGCCATAAAGCCCATAGGGACTTGCTTCCATAGCTGGTCCCTTCCATTTTCTTCCCGTCTGGTCTAGCCCCGCTTTCTTTTATCCGTTGGTAAATCAGTGCCGTCTCTGCATCTGTAGACTGCACGTGCGCCCAGCGTTCGTACTCTGCCACCTCTAGGCTCACCACCGTTACGTTCTGCTCTTTGCACGACGGGCAATTCCCATGGTTACCGGCCGGTCTTCTTGACAAGGCGTCTGCGTTCTTATGCTGCTTTCCCGGTAGATGGCGTCAGTCAAAATCATATTCTTGTAAAGCTTCTTGCCATCTCGCTATTTGCCCCTCTGGATCTCTGAAAGTCTGTAACCGTTGCAATGAATGATGATCCGTGCGGACAATGAACCTCTTCCCATTAAGTATTGCCGGAAGTGTTTTACGAAGAATACTAGTGCCAGCATTTCCCGCCTGGTGGCACAGTAGTTTCTTTCTGACTNTGCTATAACCCGTTCACGTCCATCACCGTCCACTTGCGATAATACCGCCCCAATCACCACATCACTAGCATCAGTATCGAGAATGAAACTTTCGCCGGAGATGGATGTGTCGGGGAAAGCCAGGACTGATGTTGAACATGGTTTGGTTCGTAGCGTTTCAAATGCTTCCCCGCACGCTATGTCCCATTGAAACGCCCGTCTTTTCTCCAACAACGCATTTAGTGGGGTGGCTATTCTGGCGAAGTCGACTAAAAACCTTCTATAATACGAAGCGAGGCCCAGGAACCCGCGCGCTTCGCTCACATTTTGGGGTGTCGGCTACGATTGCACTTCCATAACCTTCTGCGGGTCGGTGCAAACTCCTGTCTTAGATATTTTGTGACCCAGATACGCTACCTCTGGCTGCATAAACATACATTTAGAGGGTTTCAGCTTTAGGCCACTCTCCATAATCCGGGGTAATACACCGCTACGTTTTGCAGGTATTCAGTTGACGATTTTCCATGGATAAAAACATCATCTAAGCACACCAAACACTTACTCGGTACTAGGTCTCGTAGCACCTCCTGCATGAGTCTCTGAAACGTCGCCGATGCGTTCGCTAGTCCAAACGGCATAGTCTGAAACTCATATAAACCTGTAGGCACCACAAACGCCGTCTTGGGCTGGTCTTTTTCTTCCACCTCCACCTGCAAATAACCCGGAGCCAGGTCCAAGGTCGTAAAACAGGTTGATCCCCCGAGAGTGTCGGATAACACATCCATTTTTGGAAGGGGAAATGCGTTCCGTTTAGTCATTTGATTGAATCTTCGGTAGTCTATGCACATGCGTAAACCACTGTCCTTCTTCTTTACCAGTACGATAGGGGACGCCCATGGTGATTTGGATGGCCGAATAACGTTGCTCTGTAACATCTCGGTTATTAAATCACGTACCTCCTCGTGCAGTTGCATCGGTATCCTACGGGGTGGAGTCCTGATCGGTACTGCATCTCCAGTCTCGATTTGATGTTTGAGCACCACTGTGCGCCCGAGGTCAGTCTTGTTCCAGGCAAACATTTCGGCTTTCTCCCGGATAGTGTTGACTAGCTGGCCTATGGTTCTGTCACCATATTTATCCTTCAGTCCCCTGGTTAACTTCTCCATATAGTTTTCCACCAGCGACGCCGTTGTGTTTAAAGATAGGGTACGTGCATCTTTCGTTATCGGGCTGCGGGTCACAAACGGAACTGAGAGGGTCGGGGTGATCAACTGCCATCCATTCAAGTCCAGAGTACATCCCCATCTACGCAACACGTCCATTCCCAATAATACATCGTGTGGAATAGCCTCAGCGATAATCATGGAATGTTTCTGTGCCTGGCCCGCTAGTGATGTTGTAGCAACCGTCGTCCCCAGGACGGATATCGGTGCGCCGTTGGCGGCAGTGAGACGTTAGAGACATGGACTCACTGTATACTCCTTCAATTTACGCAAAACTGAACCTTTAACGAGTGATCGGGAGGCACCTGTATCTATCAGCGCTAAGCATATAAAGTTACAAATTGCTATCTCGATCATCAATGTGTCCTGGCTATTCGACTGGCAGCAAACGGTGGGATATTCAACGTTTTGTTTTAATTGGACTCACCAGGTTGTCATCCACCGTAGTTGGATGCCCTGTTATACCATGGGACTGGTGGTCTGTGCTGGAACCGATAGTTGGGCCGCCACGGTCGTCGCATTCCTCAGCCTCTCTGCCACGCTTGGTGTCCGACTTCTTGTGCCCCATAGTGTCCCACTGCTAGGTATTCTTGGGGTGCTGCTGTGACCGCCTCCAGCTTCTCCAGATCTTCTACGCGTTTGACAGCCATCTCAAAGTCCTCTAGTGGGTGCAAGAGCAGATGACGTCGTACGTTATTGGATCTGGACCCCTCGACTAGTTGCTCCAGCAGCTTCTCCAGTTCCGCGGGCATATCATTTTCCCATGCCCTGCTGGCTAGTCGGCGCAATTCCCGCACAAAACTTCGCCCGCCCTCACCGTCGTATTGGTGCCGTGCGTTGAATTGCTTCCCATATTCCATAGGCAGCAGGGGTGAATCTAATAACCGTCGAAGGCACGCAAATGTTTCTGCTGTGACGCCCCCCTTCATGCATTCCGCCTCGGTCTTCAGATCGAAGGCCTCTCCACCGGGTAAAGATAACACCAAATTGGGATGACGTTCAGGTGGAAAATTTTCAAGATATATTTTCACCTGCTTCTACCACCGCTGAAAGTTGTCTCCAACATTGTACTTCTCCGGGACTGAGCAGGCTGCTGTTGGCCCCATGGTGGATGGTTTTTCTAATCGTTCCGTTAGCGCACTCAGAACATTCGCCAGCTGCGTGCCGCCATTGACCACCATCTGCGCGGTCGCGTCTTCACTTTTCGGAGTCTTCGGCATATTCAGGGATTGATCCTGGCAGGGTCGCCAATTTTGTAACAGGCAATCACGGGAGAAGACTCTTGAGGAATCAGGAAATTATATGGTACGTAACGGCAGTGAAAAGGTAAATAAGAAGATGTACATGGGGGAACTCGACATTACGTGAGCCTTCACTTGTCTCCGGGTTCTTCGTCTGTCGTTTGGCGATCCTTCACCGTTGTGGTAATGATTGGGTAAACTGCAACGCAGAGGAAAGGCAGCTCCGTCAGAACCTCACAGTTCAAAATGTCCGGTCTAATTCAAATAGTGGTTTTCTCTACAACCTAACCTGACCTCATCCTCAATAACGAGGAGCCTGTGATCAGAGAATCTAAAACCCGAAGGGAAATGGATAGAAGGAGGGCGCTGGATATCCTGGGGCTGGCGGGATTAAATCCTCGAAA